TCTATACTCGGAGGTAAATAGATTTTATTTTTTTCATAGTTTTTTAATCTCATTTTATAATTTGCTTTCAATGTTTAGATAAACCAAACAATCTTAAATTATGTTTTTTTTATATATAAATGATAATATTAAATATTAATAGTGCACTGGATTAGTTGATACACTAATTAAAAATAATATCTCTTTTAAAATTATCTAAAGAACACACTTCTTAAATTTTAGGTCCAAGATTTGAATTTGGACACAATAAATATAAAAAGAGAATATACATGCTTAACTATTACAACAACCTTAAGATTTATATTATATTTATATATGTCAAATTGAATTAAAAGTGTAACTATGTTTTTTCTTGGTATAATTAGCCTATTTAAGTTTTTTAAAATATCATACTATATTTTTTTCCTTATTTGGATTTTTTCTTTTGTATATTCAGAATAAAATATTTATTTCAAAATATATAATATAGTAATTAAAATTTTAAAAATTTAAATATATATATATATATATATATATATATATATATTAAATGAAATAACAAATGTCTTGATAAAATATAATATGTCAGAATAATAACTTCTATAAATTTATAAATATTACATTTTTTGATATATACATTAGTTATTGTTAATCATGAATGGAGCAAACGAAGATTAATAGTGATTTTGAAATTGTGATATAAATTATTTTTTAAAATATATTTTATTTGTAAATATATTAAAATAATATTTTTATTTTTAATATCAACATATTTTTAATAATCTAGAAATAAAAAATATTAATTTAAAATTAAAAAAATAAAATAAAAATTAAAGAGCACAAACAAACACTGCCGAGCTAATCCATCGGGTCTCAAACCATAATAAAAATAATAATAAAAGAAACAAGAATTTACACGCTGCGTGCTTGGCGCGTGGAAGCGGAGAGCACAAGCGTCTCCAAACTCCACTGCTACTCCTTGCAAAGTTGCAATTTTAAGCACTATTCTCGCTCACAAAAATTCGAAATAATAATAATAATAAAAAGAAAAACCCGCTGTGGCGCCAAAGCATTGCATAAACATCAGAATGGCATTTTTGGAATACCAAGCTATAAATACAAAAATAAAAATCCACTCCATTTATCTCTCTCACTCTCTGCGTCGTGTACTGCGGATTTCACAGTTGAAGGCAGATAAAAGAAAAGAAGGTACTCTCTCTCTCTCTGGTTGCCCCAAATCCAGGGTTCCTTTTAATATATTCGTGTAATTATTTACTCTTTAGTCAAGCTTCAATTCCTTAATTTAAAGCTCAAAACAAGCTTCGCTTCACTCACTTGTTTTATTTTTTTTAAAAGGTAAAAATTCAATCTTTACTTTGGTTTTTTTTGGGTTTGTAAGTTGGTTTTAAATGTGGGTTTTGATATTGGTTTACTATAGTTATTAGATTTTTGTGTTTGGTTGGTAATTGAGGCAATAGTCTTGTTTTAGGGTAAATATTCAATATTATTGACTGGATTCTTTAGTTGGATTAAATGTGGGTTTTTGGTTTTGATTCCGGTTAATTTAAGTTTTTGTTTCTCCCTTTTTTAAAGAAATTCTAATTAATGGTACGGCTAGATTTAATATTGGTAATTATTAAGCTAGCTACTGGTTTTAAAGACTGAAATTTTGGGTTTGTTCTAGACTTTCTGTATTTGTTTCCTTTTTTGGGCTTAAGTGTTGTTTGGTGTCTGAGAAATGTTGCAGAAAAAGGAAACTGCTCTGTATTTTCTAGTTGGTAGTTATGACTTGAAAAAAAAATTTGATTCTAAGTCAGTGTGATTTCGAAATTTTATATGTGCTATGTTGTGAGAGTTTGTTTCGTTAAGGTTGTGCAAGCAGTTGAAAACAAGTCATTGAGTTTTCTTTGTTTAAAAATCAAAATCTAAGCAATTTTGAGTTTGTTATGTTATAAATATGGTTCTGTCTGCTTTCCCATAGCATACAAATGTTTGCATGTTTATCCATTGTCGTGAGATCATGTTGATGGGAATTAAATGATTGTGCCTGGGGCTGTTAACAGATAGTGGGAATTGAATACCCAGGTGGAATTATGCTGAATGTTTGTCTTGAATTGCTTTTCTTGGAGAAGTGGTTTTCTAATTATTTTCCTAAAATTGATTATTTTACTGGGAATGAAGAGGGACATGTTGAAATGAGCACACTGCAACTTTATCACTCAAATACTATGGGTTTTCTTGACAAATACTGCTGCCAAGCATTTTTTCTTCATAATTTGGATTAAAAGGATGAGTTTTTCTTTTGGGAGGAGTGGGGTTTTAAAAAATGTGCTTCTTTTGATGTTAGTGTGTTGCCTGACAGTTGTTGCATATTTTTCAATTGTTGGATGGTATAGATGGTTACCTCTATCAGTCTTCTCTTTATCGATGGAATTTATCCTAGTCAACATTCAATTATAGAACACGTGTAGAACACCTAACTTTGGTTGATCCTATCCAATCTTTCCTTGTGAGTTGATAGGATTGCTTGCTGATGCGCATCACTAAAATTTAATAATGGTTTGTTTTGTGCAGCAATGGTTTTCTTCTACACACTTGACTTTTGGCCTAATTCTGTTGAGCTTTTCCTCTGAACTAGCTTTCTCCTCTTTTCTCTAATATATTTATTTTTCACTAGCATCTATCTTGTGTGACATCTCATCAGGATTTGCAAGATGGAGAGCCTGCACAGCTTCTGGCAACTGGGTGACGAGCTTCGAGGACAATCAAAAGTCTCAGAGGATCATAAGTGGTTAATGGCTGCTTTGAAATTGGCTGAGCAGACCCAGGGAAAGGGTGAACGTATGAATAACCTTGACCTTTCAAAGGGCCTTCCAGAAATGAGGTCAAGGGATAAGATTGGGTTCCAAGAAGAAAATAAATTTGAAAGTTTCAATTTCAACATGATGAACTTGGAGTCCAAGATGACAGAAAATGGGAACAAAAGTTCCTTAAGGAACAATGCTTACAATATGAGTGCAGTGTACCAGAAAAACAACATAAACAGCGTGGGCAGTATGACTGGTAGCAAGTACAGTGGCAACAACCTCATCAGTAAAGATCCCAATCCCAGTAACCACAGCAATAACAACATTAATAACGACAACAGCAATACAGTGGACAAAAGGTTCAAGACCTTGCCAGCCACAGAGACGCTTCCAAGGAATGAGGTGCTTGGAGGATATATCTTTGTCTGTAACAATGACACCAGGCAGGAAGATTTGAAGCGACAGCTTTTTGGTAATTTCTTACTTTTTTCCCCTCATGTTCTTGTTAGTTTTCCCTTAATGTTTAAAGTAACTTAAAAATTGTTAGATGGCCACAATTCAGATGCTATGTCTTTTTGGTAATTTCTTACTCTTTTCCCCTCATGTTCTTGTCAGTGTTCCCTTAATGTTTAAAGTAACTTAAAAATTGTTAGATGGCCACAATTCAGATGCTATATCTTGTTTATATTACGAAGTATGAATACAACTTTGCCCATATGTCAGAACATTGAATGATGGGAAACCTGACATATGTCACAAGTTTTGACAAGACGAGAGTTTTCTGTTGTTCAAGTTTTAACATAGGATGCTAAGTGATGAGCATTAAAAAGTGATTGTTTCATACTTTAAAGCTTTCTACTCAACTCCATGAGTACTAGCGTCTTGAGGTTTGTCCTTTTTTAATAACATTTGTGAAGTCTTATCTAATAATTTTTGCACAATTGATAGGTTTACCACCAAGATATAGGGATTCTGTCCGGGCAATAACACCTGGCTTACCTCTCTTCCTCTATAATTACACCACTCATCAGCTACATGGCATTTTTGAGGTTTTTTCTATAACTTTTACTCCCTTAATTTGCAATGGTTTTCTCCAAGATGCTTGATGTCAAAAGTGTCTACTGCAATGATTCTAGTACTTGTATCTATAACTTATGCTTCTCAATTTGGTCTTGCACAGGCAGCAAGTTTTGGGGGTTCGAACATTGATCCAACTGCATGGGAAGACAAAAAGTGTAAAGGAGAGTCAAGGTTTCCTGCTCAGGTACAAACTGATTCCTAATATGGATTTTCAATAACTTGCTGTATCTTGAATCTTCTTCATTTCATTTCCTTTTATTTACTTCCCTTTTTGGGTGATTAACAAACAGGTGAGGATCCGGATTAGAAAACTCTGCAAGGCATTGGAGGAAGATGCTTTCAGGCCGGTTTTGCATCATTATGATGGCCCCAAGTTTCGCCTTGAGCTCTCGGTTCCTGAGGTATGATCAACATTAAAAAACTTTGCTGCCTGTGTCCCCTTAACTTCTGTTTGAATGTGTATTTTTTTTCCCATATACAAATTGATTTTTAGTTCTCGTGCTCATAAATGCTACTATGATGGTTTTGCAGACTTTGGATCTATTAGACCTCTGTGACCAAGCAGGCTCTTTGGCTTAAGCAAACCTTCTATAGCACGGAAATGATGCAGGTTTTGTGATGCACGTCAGCTTCTGCTTTTCACAGATTTCCCATAGAGCACAAGCTTGGGGTTTAGGTCTGGTTGGGTGAATCTTGTTGGGAGAGGGATGGATGGCATGTGAGCCAGCTGAATAAATGCATGTGTCTTGTGAAGATGGCTGTTTAGCTTCATTATGTTATGCTTATGATGATATGATATCATAGACAGACATGGAGATGTAAAATAGAATGGTAACTTGTGTAATTTCGAAGTTCTCAGAAGAAGGGGACAGCCTTGATGTGTCTTTAGTTTCTGTATGAAAACCGAGTGAATGACAGTTGCCTTGTGTGTTATGTCTGGTAAATCCATGTGGAGGTTCTTATCTAGCCTTTCCAATTCGGAACTTTTAGTCGGTTGAATTCTCTAGGTCAATGCAGTGGACAACTGAACGGCCCTCTTTTCACACTCAGCTAGGTAGCCTCGATGTTATTTGTGGGATGTGAGTGAGAAGTGCAGTCCTAAAATGTCAAGCAAAACGCAACTTGTTGTGATCGACTCTTTGTTGCAGCATGAGGTCGGGTGCATGCTGCCGTTAGCGTTGCTTGCAATTTGTAAGGAGACTTGCATGTACAAGTTGTGTAACAACCTGATTTTTTTCATAACAAAAAATCGGTGGATTTTTTTTTTTATGTGCCAGGTTCTCTAAGTTTTTCACAATATCATTCTATAAATTTATAAATATATTTTTTCATTAGCAAGGTATAACCTATAGTAATGTAATCAACATCCTATAAAAAGTGATAATACATATCTTTGCAAAAGTATTTAGGAATTATCATAACAAAATTCATCTATTAGTGTAATGCAATACTCATTTGATTTCATAATATAACATTCTTATAAGAGAGAATATCACATATATACATTTATCATATTATGTTTACAAAATCATATTTTCGGATTGTAATTTTGATACAAGTCTTTACAAAAGTGTTGAATGAAAAATATTCAATTAGATCGTATATTCTTATCAAATATATAACATCTAAAAACATATTATTATATACCACCTTTTAAAATGTGTGAACCCATCGAACAAGCTTTTCTATGCACCTTGATTATGTGATGTCCCTATTACAAAAACAACATCGATACAAGAATTGTATATAATCTAAACATGATAATAAACAACTAAAAGAATGTTATCGTTACTTTCTGTTATCAAATGAGAAATGAGTATTCTCTTTCATTTACTTCTCATATGCATTGTACAATCCTTATTATTTCATTAAATGTATTATTCTCACCCATATGCCCCAACATCTTCATAGGAGTTGTGAGGCCAAAATTTAATCATAGATTAGGGTTAATTATTTCACTTTAACCCAATCATCCACCTTGGATGTTTTTAGTTGTAGTTAATCGTAAAATCCAAACTTGGTTATTCATCTTTGATGTCATTAACCAAAACTAATCACAAAATCAAACTCGTCATCTTTTACAGATACCATTGGCTGAAGCCAATCATCATAATCAACTTGGTCATCCATTTAAATGCCATTAACTAAAGCTAAACGTCATATTCAACCTGGTCATCCCTATAGGATGCCATTTGCTGAGACTAATCATCACTATAACCCAATCATCTATCTAGGATGCCATTAGTCAAGGCTAATCATCAACGCACCCCGGTAGTTTGTCTAAGATGCTATTAGCTGAAGTTAATCATTAATTCATCTTGGTCATCCTTTAAGGATGCTGATTAGTACTTAAAAGTGCATTTTTATCATGATTTTATATCATCATTTTGCACTTGAAGTATTAATAACTCCTTAACTAAAGCATGTTTTATAATAACATATCTAATAATATAAGATACCTTTA